TAGTTTCTGTACAGTTTGATAGGAATCGGAAATGCTGTTGATTTCTGAATAACTTAAATCATTTTCCCACGTCCATAAATAATCTTATGAGGGTTCTGTAAAAAACGGTTAGATTGTAGTTTTTATTTTCATATTATTTACATGAATTAAAATGTTTTAAAATAATCAAAATACATAGAGCAAATGAAAAACTGGCCAAATAGTTAGAGTTAATTGGGGCGATGCGTAATAAGTAGAGTATCTGACATTTTCAGATGTCGTGTTGACTGTCGGTATCTTTAAATAATATACTTATATTCGTAACATTTGATTTATGTGTTGTGTGCATATATAAGTATGTATTACATTTTTTACATTCCTGCCACTTACTTAATTTGTGTGTTTATTGCAGTTGGCCAAGTTTTTGTGTGTTTATTTTGGCCGCAGGGGTGGGCGGTCGACAGTGGGGTATGAAAGGCGTCTGTTACGCACCAGATATTCCGAAGTATTTACACGCGAAATAGCAACAGCAACAGCAAACAAATAATCATAAGAAGCAAATACAACAACAATAGCAAATGCCAAACGGCAACGAAAAATTGTAGACTATTTAAAAAATTTATGTGCGGATGTTTTGCCGTCGGGATATTTCCGGTTTATGATGATTATGTTTTGTTTTGTGCGGGCATGGTCATACCGCCCCTCCCTGCTGATGCTCTCCTTCTTTTGATGATTCTTCTCTTGCTGTTGTTCTCGTTGTTGTTGTTCTTGTACTTTTATTTGCGTTTATTTTTAACAAGCGGATTACTTCTTCGGCACTTTTTTATATCTCTAGGTCTGTCTCTATGCCCTCCCGTCGCATTTTCATTTCTTTTGTTAGCGCGCAGCGGCAACAACAACCAAACGCAGCTCATGCCACGCATAGCTGTCTTCATAATAAAAATAATAATAATTTCTTTTATTTTTTATTTGCTTTTTATGTTGGCATAGGGCAACTTTTTATTTGCTGCACACGCCAGTCCGTTGCATTAACACTTCAAGTGCTGAAATTGTTGCTAGTATTTTAATTATTGTTTAAAAACATTTTTATGCATTGGTATTTCCTTCTTTTGCTTTTGGAATATTGCATAAGCAGCTTATTAATAATTTCTTCCCAGTATGGCTTCACTCATTTTTCTCCTTCTTCAAGTTAATCAAAACAACTGGCGACAATAAAAGGGCTTGTAATCACAAAAATGTCTTGCAGACATAAGCGGCAGAAACAATACATCTGGGTGTGGCTGCATTGTATGTGAGTGTAGACTATAGCGATGGTGCTAGGAAACAAGCCGATGTTAAGGGGGTTACATAGTCTGCGACACATATCACTGCTTAAGGCCGTGTAATATACGAGTATGTATAAAGACGGAATAACAAAAGAATTCTACAGAATGAATGACAAATAATATATAAAAATGAAAAGAGAATCATTCAATACGTATGACGATTGTACTAAGATACTAAGTTTTTATAATAATCACGAAAGCATTTAAGGGCTTCATTATGTGAAATAATTGAAAACGGTTTTGCAATAATTGCTATTAACTCTCTCTAATTTACCATCTTACTCGCCATTGGCGCTTCTTCCTAAATGCTACTAAAGCTTGTAGTTTAATTCTGCGTATTGCTAATATTGGCAAGTTCTTCCGACTTGTTCGTGTTAATACCAACATTTTATTTTGTGACGCTTTTTCCTTGTGCAAAGAGCAACCCTCCGCAAAAGCAGTAGAAATTAATTTGCTTCCAAAAGCTCGCACACACTCACACACAGTCACATAGACAAAGAATTGTGTATTATTTTTATTTCTTTATACAAAGAACCGTCTGCCATTTATGGTGGCAACTCCTCCATTTGTTTTGGTCAACGGTAGCGTCCTTGTGGGTATGTAACAAAGCCAAATGTTACCACAAAAAGTAATCTCTGAGTATAAACGCATATCCGACTGCAATTATGCTGAATGCTGAACATAATGTGACCACAATTTTCATTACCGCAGGCATGTGTAATGGTCTCGCACACAAACATGTTTGCTCTTAATGTCAGTCAAAGCGTACAGCAAGAGAATAATGCTAAATTTTTATATGCAACATTGGTGCTAAGCTTCATGGTCATCTATACATAAAACTGCAGCTGAAAATGCGCCTAATATGCGGCCATACAATAAGCTTGTAAGTCGGCGACAAAGTCACTTAATAAGCCAAAAAACAATGACAGGCTTTAACCCTACAGACACATCTATGTATGTGATGTACATACATACATACATGCCCGTACATATATGTAAATGTATATGTGTACAGAAAGGCAGCTGCATGCACGCCTCATAAAAGTCTAATTAATTAAAATCGTGCCGACAAGCCGTGCACTAAGGCCGAGAGGACAACTAAGCGTATGCGTAACGCCACAATGCGCGTATGCGAAATGCGCACTGGGACTAAGCAAAGGCAATGCGCGCTGGCTAATTAAAAGCAAGCCACACATACACACCCACAACACTCATAACAAAAAAAAAAAAAAAAATCTGTCGGAATAGTACGAGTAACAAAGCTTCCAGTCTTCCATCTACCAGCCATCTGCCATGAGGGGTTTCTAGCCTGTTGGTGGGTGGGTGTGTGTGTGTGTTATAAAGTTAATCATGCCTCAAAATACGTAAATGCCACGCACAAAGTTAGGAGACAGGAGACAGGCAGTCGCCTGGAAGTCCTGTGGGGCATGGGCCATAAAAAAGTACGCCCAGGCTCAGGAGCAGGCAACGTTTGATTAAAATCTGTTTTAATAAAGTTCTATGTGCGCTTTATTGATGAGTTTTATTGTAGCCAGGCAACAGTTTGTAAGTTAGAGTAACATTAGGAGTACCAGAAGTGGCAGAAGCAGCAGCAACAACAACCGCATAAGAATGTTAATTAGATTTTATTATGTGTGTGTGTATTAGCAAATGTGTGGGTGTGTGTATTGAGCTATTTGCTTGCTACATAATGCCAGCGGGATTATGGCTTATTAAAAGGCTTATGAAAGTCAAAAGAAACTTTACTTAATTTCAGTTAGTTAGCAGCAATGAAAACAGCGCAGTTGCCAGCCACTTGAGCTTTGGTCGAAAAACTTTCTCGGGCATTTATGCTCCTTCATTTATTAAACACGCACACCCACACACATACGTATACTATATATAGTATACATACATGCAAAATAGGTGTGTGAAAATGTGTGTGTTTGTGGTGCTAATAAAAAAGCAAACGGAAACGCAACCTCCAAGTCAACCAAATCAAATCAAATGCGCCGGCAATTTTACAACGATTTTTGCTGGCGGCTTATGGGCCAGCCATAAATTCAAATGTTGCAGCATAAAATCAAATAAAAAAAGAGGCGAAAAATGTGCCATAAACGTAAAATTGGCAAACACTTTATACCATTACCATGATTAGCAGCTGGCATCTGAACTGCTTCGACTCGTACTCGTATATTCTAATCCCTAGGCCGGGCTCACAACAAAATGACAACTTTGCTGGCAAACATTTGCTGGTATTTATGAATTTGGCAGCCTGTTTTTTTCAATTACAGCCAACTACAAAGTTAGGCGAAATAAATTTCATTTCGTTTTCATATTTTTTAGTATGCTTAATGCGTTGCCTTGACTATGCGGTCACATTACGCTTCATCGGCTGCCAATTCTACACCTTTGCTCCAGCGCAAAGCGAAAGTCTGGCTTTTTATCAAACCAAAACGTCTCGGGGTCATTTTTGGACCGGCAATTTGAAGCGCAATTGTGCGCTCATTTCTGTATTTTTTTTTTGCCAGATTTGGCTGCGCATTTTAATGTGCGCTTCTTTTTTTAAGCGGTCGCTTTGAAAAATAGCGCTGGAAAAAGAGTTAGGAAAACATTCTGGGCACGTGCTGATTGATGTAAAATGCGTAATGAGCGCGGTTATTTTTATAGGGTGGGCTTGGCTGGTCCGCCTCCTGGAGCAACTGGGAGTGGGGTGGGTTGGTTTCATTTGGTTTTGTCTGTGAATTTGGATAGATAACAGCAGGAAGAAGGAAAGTTTTCTAATTAGAATATACGTGGTGCTTAAATTGTGTGCTGGTAATGGTCGTGTCCTTTTTTTCTTGGGCTGCTTCGAGAGTTTGAAAGTGCGTGGCTTCGTTGGCGTAATTAAGGGCAATCGCTTTATTATTGGGAGAGGGTCCGAAAAAGGCATAGCGTTTTATAAAAAGTGTTTTTTTTTTTTTTATTAAGAGTATCAATAATTACGATTACTAGGGAGAATGTGGAGAGTAACAGAGAACGCGTTTGCGTGTATTCATTTTGCCTTTAGTTATGTATATAGCTACTCTAATGCAATGTAATGCATGGCTTGGTCTTTATCAGATAATTATCAGTTCAAATCGCAGTTGTTTTATATAAATATTAATTTCATTCTATTTAATCAATAAGTTATCTTTATCACAGCAAACACAGCAATATTCATATATGCATACTTGAACTGATAACAATACGTTTATTTTACACTCAAGAAAACAATTTTCAAGAATGAAAAGAAAACCACAATTGTAAATGGAGCCTGGCAAAGACCACCGAGCTAGCAGGAATCCTTGAGTATATAACTCGGTTCGAATTACGGCCCTACACTCATTGCATAAAGTATGACTTGAAAAAATTACTTGCAGTTTTCAAAATTAAATTGTCCTGTTATTGCCAAATCTGCAAGCCGATTCCACAATACAACATTTTTTTTTTAAAATCATTTTGGAAGGAAATTATGATTGCTTATTTAGGGATATTTTCTTTAGAAATATTTTTCTTTAGAATAACACCAAAATTATAGCATTATTTACTGTGTAGTTTCAGTACTGATAAAAGGCTACACTTAAAAAAATATTTAGTTTAACATATTTGACTTGAATTGAAAATATTTTGATTGTCCAAAATTTTCGTAAAATCGTAATTTAACATTAATTTATATTCGAGTGCAGCTTTTGTAATTTAATTCAAGATGTGCACATTCAGTCCAATGTGCGATGGCGCTAGCACTAAGTTAAACAGCTTTAAACCTAAGTAAGCTACAATCGAGGCAACAATACCAACACGGGTAAACACTGTTGATATCAAATCTACACTGTAGTACTGCATAAATGAGAGGTCTTGCTCGGCCATTCGCATATGATGTGCGCCATCATGTCTCAGGACATATTCTGTCCACCAGATTGCTGTTTCCAAAGGTGACATCGGTTGATCTCGAAAGCGCCGACTCAAATCTTTCGCTTGGCGTGAATACCGAGGGTTATAAATGAGTTCTGTGATGGTCTCCATAAGTTGCGCAACGTTTATATTGTACAGATCTAAGCTTTTTGCGCCGCCTGCCTGTTTCATACGTTCCACATTGCTGAACTGATCGTAATAAAGAGGCAGCCCAATCATTGGCACACCATAATAGGCTGCCTCAATGATGCTTAGCAGTCCACCGTGGGTAATGAACAACTTGACATTGGGGTGGGCTAATACCTCACGCTGTGGCAGCAGGGGACTTGTATATATATTATCCGATTTATTGGGCAGCTCATCTTGTTCGCACTTCCAAATCACTCGCTGCTTTAATTTGGAAAACACTGTTAGCAACTTCTGCTGCCCGTCTTTGGGAAAGTGCTTGCTCGTGATTTCCAGGCCCATCGAAAAGTAGACAACGCCTTCTGTGGCCCCATCCATAAAAATCTGAAGGGCCTCATCGCAGGAGGCATTTGGCACACTCATATGCATCCCAGCTACCTCAACTAAATTGGGGACATTGGAACGCGCGCGCCCTAAGCTGAAGTGATAATTAATCAAGATCAACGAAAACCTTCGTCGTATATCATGAAGAGAGTCCAGCGACGAGTTAAAGTATTTTCTAAAGAGCTGTGTTTGCTTTGGTAGGTAGACGAATCGCTCCAGCAGCCACTCTTCAGTTATATAAATCCAGTTGTACCATTTATCTAGCAAAGTTAAGCCCTTTGAGTAGCCTACAGGCGAAATTGGCTCGTATGTGCTCGGCGCTGAATGTCCTACTAAATAATCGATGTTCCATGTCGAACCAAACGCAGAAATTCCCACCAATAGTGCGTTAAAGTGTTGAGCAAAGCCAAATAACGCATCTGTATAAGAGGCCTCTACGATAATCATATCGAAATGAATCTCTGCATTGGTCAACAACGACTGCACTTTGGGATCAGATAAAACTGCGTTTGATGAGTTATAGAAAAACGAAGATATCCAGATGGCCTCCTCCCATTTGCTCATTGGAAAAACGTAGTCGTTGGCGACGATTTCTAGGAACAATAACTAAATAAGTAGATGTCGCTTAAACTGTGTCACATAAAATACAAATCCTTTATTACGGAGTTTAAAATTAATTAAAGTGCATACCATTTACTTGATCTTCCAAAGCCTGCACGCGTATGTGTTCAACCCCTTCAATCGTAGGCATTGCAGTAACCGATGAAATTATTGTTAGCTGGTGTCCATTATCTTGAAGGGCATTTAAGAATGGCGTCACCAGAATGTAAGGCGCCGGAAAAGCGTACGAAAATATAGCTAATTTTTGGCAGTCGAACTTTGCTGAACACACGCAACGAGTCCGAGCAGTAATGTCCACTTTCGTTGGCTCAGCATTCTACCTTAATGCATGTTCATATCGGCGTTTTGCACAAAACTAAAAGCGCTATTCAAAAAGCTAGCCATGGTTGCTTTTATCTTATCAGCACAGTCCATTAAAAGATATTCACACAATACTTTGGTGATAACTTGCCTACCTTTTTAGTTGTTTGTAAAATGCTCGCCAAACCACTTCTTTTTTGTATACCAATCGCCTTTCTTTGCACCTTTGAGGCGGCTAAGATTTTAGCAGTTTTTCCTTTTGAAACTCCATCGCAATGTCATGTATTGACGCCCTTTTTGAGAGCTCTGGCGCAACGCAATCATGAGCTAACTGTCATTCACGCCTATCCCGAATGCGAGACAGTACACAAAGTAAAATATATTCGCGTGGAGGACAAATATCGTGTGTTCGGAGGTAAGTTCCCATTGCTGACCCCATAACAGAATCTTAATAATCTGATTAAACTACCTTAGATTTTAATGCTGATGACTTTTTGCCTACAGCCAGCAAGTGGAGTGTTTTTAACCTATTCAGTACGTTTATGATTAAGATCCAGCTGAATGTGTTGCAAAATGAGGAGGTGCAGAATCTGATGAATTCAAATGCTACATTTGATTTGGTTATCCTTGAGTCCTCCAATACAGATGCGCTGTACGGCTTAGCGGCGCATTTTAACGCCCCACTGGTTGGCTTGGCTACAACCGGTTCCGATTGGAGCATTGATGCACTCGTTGGTTATACAGGCTCATCAATTTCGGAACCCATGCAGCCCTCTGGTTATCGAAACGGCCTGACCCTGTTTGAGCAATTTCACAATTGGGCCTATATATCAGAAGAGTGGCTGATGCTGCAGTTGTTGTACTTGCCACAAATGCGGCAAGTGTACGAGCAATTTTTCCCACATCTGAGCGAACCATTTGAAAAAATCCGTCACAGTTTTTCTTTAATATTACTGAACCAACATTTTAGTCTTGGTCAGCCTCGTCCGAATGTACCGGGCGTGGTGGAGGTAGGAGGATTCCATTTGACTGGAGATGTGCCTGCATTACCTCAAGACTTAGCCGTGTTCATTGAAGAAGCTACACATGGTGTTATATACTTTGCGCTAGGCATTGAGCTGCAAAGCAAAGATTTGTCTGCTACCACATTGAGAATGCTGCTTCAATGCTTTGAGTCCCTACCACAACGAGTTATCTGGAAGTACGAGGGCGAACCATTGAGCAATGTGAGTGCCAATATATATATAGGCTCTTGGTTGCCGCAGCGAGCAATTCTGGCCCATTCCAACGTAAAGCTGTTCATCACACATGGCGGCCAGCTGAGCTTCATTGAGACCGCATATTTTGGTAAGCCGGTGCTTGGTCTACCACACTACTTTGATCAGTTCCGCAACATAGACCACTTAACTAGACATGGATTGGGCATATCCTTGGATTTAAATACGCTCACCGGACCAGTGCTTACAGCGGCCATAGAGCAGGTGATCAGTGATCCCCAGTACCAGCGCAGTGCCTCGGCATACTCCCATCGATTCAGGGATCAACCCATGCAGCCAATGCAGGTGGCTGTCTACTGGACGGAATATGTGCTGCGCTATAAAGGTGCGTCGCACATGCGTGTACCTGTTTACAATATGAAATTCATAGACTACTATAGCTTGGATAAGCTGCTGATGATTGGCGGACGGATAACCTTGTTGGTAATTTTGGTTGTTTTCGCATTTTTCAAGCTCAATCCCTTGCTGGGCCTATTTAGAGCTTCCTGGGAGCGTCTTAAGTGGGGACAAGCGCCGATGGTACCACAACTAAAGTAGCCAATACGCCTTTAGTCGATGTTTTAAAGCTATTAATTATAATCGAATTTGTGCATTTAGATAGTGCCCCAGGTTGCTGACAGGAAAATGCATGGTAGACTAAACTGTGTTATCTTATCTTAATTGCCTTGCCATAAATGCTAAAACAAAAATGTTTGGGTGTACTATTACGCACATATGTATATATGTATATGTAAGCATCTGTTAGGTAGTATTAAGCAAACAAACTACTCGTATATCGAAAACAGTTTTTAAATGCAATAAATGAACATTTATTTTGCTAAATTGTTCCATTTATTTGCTCGAAGTTATTTACACAACTTTAAGCTTGATCCTAGTCAGGGGTTGTTGCTGCGCCCAGATTTAAATAACACCATGAATTTAGTATGTATGTACATACATATATGATACTTGCACTTACGGGTAAAAATGTATATGTATGCGTACAGTACATATGAATGGAAATGAATAGCTGCTTTCAGTTTTCGCGATTTTATTTCGAAAGTTTTTGTTGTTTCACGAGAATTAAATGTTATTTTTATTGAACAAAAAGCTTTGCAGCTTACTAGTGAAATCGTAATATTTCCATTGGCTTATGCCAAGTTAGTATAATATAGAATATACAAAAACAAAGTAAAATTCAAAATCATCACACAATGCTTAAGCAGTAGTAGTAAGCAAGCTAAGTATAATAAATAGAAATATAATCCTTTTTATTCCACAAAAACCTAAAATGTATCTAAATTATAACGACAATGACTAATCTGAATTAGTTAGGCTTGGGTTACAATTAACATGTTCCAATGATGTATGAGTAATTTAAAGTTCGTTGTATTTGTTGGTTACTCTTGTTGCTTTATCAATAGTTTGTGCATTAAATAAATATAATAAGTATGAATATGTGTATTTTATTAAATAAAGAGTAATTATTTGCTGAGACCTGAAAATAAGACTGAAATAAGTAAACTTCAAAAGGTAATTGATATCACATAAAAAAAACTCGTTCCCAGGCCACATTAGTTTAACAAAAAGCTTAACTGTCGCTTTTCATGCTCAATTAATTGGGCGGTGTAGGTTTGGCATGCATACTATATACAGAATATAATACGCTGTCCGGCTAAGCAAATGGCTTGTTTATTTGAGGAGAACAACGAGAGAGAGAGAGAGAGAGAGTAATACTGAGAGAAAGAATGGCGTATCTAGCGACGAAGCCGTCGTTGCTAGTCGCTTGCATAACTGACTGAGAGTAAACAATGACGCAGAAAATTGTGAAATTCAATTGTTGCTAAATATAATAAAAGCAATATAATTAAAGCTTCGGCTTATAATAGGTAAGTAAAAGTCAAATAGTTATAAAACTGTGCAGTAGAACGACTGCACGGTCGAGTGGTTTTTGTTTAAATAAAAGAAAAGAGCGCTGACCTGCCGCATGAAAAAGCTTGTGAACAGCTGTCCATTGGGTGTTGTTATTTTGTTTTTGGCAATCAGAAAAAATTGGTTGATTGTTTTAGTTGACGCCGAGCATTGGCGGGTTTTGGAAGCAAGCATGGGACTGTATCGCTGCTTTGTACTTAGCACGCTTTTGCTTCTGCTCTCTAACTCGATTGAAGGCGACGGTTACAAGATTTTGGCCGTATTCCCGTTCCCCGGTAAATCGCAATATATATTCGCAGAGAATTATCTTCAGGAGCTGGCGAGACGTGGTCATAATGTTACTGTGATTAACACCTTTGGGGGCACTGCAGATGTGCCCAACTTTCGTGTGATTGGAGCAACCAAAATACATGAGATAATGGCGAGTGAGTAGTTGATAAAACAGTATTGGTATTCAATTAAAAGTATTTAATTAACAGGCTTCTCGTCAGCCGACTACAATATGCAGGCGAATCAATGGGAGGTACTGAGCCTAACCACACAGTTTCTGAATCTGCTGTCGGAAAACATAATGGAGGAGCCTGCTGTGCAACAACTGTTGAGGAGCGATGAAACTTTCGATGCACTTATTGTGGAAACGGTGCAGAATGAGGTGCTCTTTGGATTAGCCCAGCATTTCCGGGCACTGACTATAGGTATATCTTCCTATGGCACAGACAGGTTGTTGGCACAAAACTGTCCCAGTACTTTTTGTTAATTTGCTTTATCATATAGACACATAGATGAGCTGATGGGCAACATTTCGCCATTATCCTACAATCCCATGTTGCTGTCTTCGCGCACAGAACGGATGCGGTTTGGGGAGCGGCTACAAAATGTCTGGGAGGCATGCGTCTTGTGGGTACACAAGCGTTTGGTGCATTTACCCAGTCAGCAGAAACTCTATCAGAAATACTTTCCCAACGCAAAGGTTAATTTGCAGCAGGCCATGAACAACTTCTCGCTGATGCTACTGGGTCAGCATTTCTCACTGAGCTATCCGCGTCCATATTTGCCCAATATGATTGAAGTGGGCGGGCTACACTTGAAGCAGCAGGGCGTGGGACAGGCATTGCCGGAAAAGATCAAAGAGTTCATTGAAACAGCGCCGCATGGTGCCATTTACTTTTCTATGGGCTCGAATATCAAAAGTGTGGACTTGCCCGAGGCTACCCGCAGTGTGCTGCTGGAGACCTTTGGCAGCTTGCAGGAACGCGTGCTCTGGAAGTTTGAGATGGACGAGATGCCCAATCGCCCGGCAAATGTTTTGATAAGCAAATGGTTTCCGCAGCACGATATTTTGGCCCATCCAAATGTAAAGCTAATAATTACGCATGGCGGCCTAATGAGCACCATTGAGAGTGTGTATTATGGCAAGCCTGTGTTGGGCTTGCCTGTTTTTTATGACCAGTTTTTAAATGTGGAGCGCGCTAAGCTAGCAGGCTACGGCCTGGGCTTGGATCTGTGGCACTTGAATGCGACTCAGCTACGTGAGAAAATTGTGGAACTTTTGCAAAATCCAAACTATACAGAGGCAGCACAATTGAGGTCAGCTCTGCATCGCGACCAGAAGGAAACGCCATTAGAGCGGGCCATCTGGTGGACGGAGTATGTGCTGCGACATAAAGGTGCAAGGCACATGCGATCAGTGGCGCAGGATCTGAACTTCTACCAGCTACATGGACTGGATGTGTGGTGTGTTTTGATGACAGGGCTATGCTTATTGGGGTTGATTGTATGGCTTATCATTTATAGTCTGTTTCAAGTAGTTAAGAGGACACTAGTCGGACGAAAGTCAAATTTAAGTTCTAAGAATGATCCAAAGGTCAAATCCCAATAAAAGACCCATTACAAACTTGTTATTGAAAATATTTGTTCGTACCCCTTAAGAGCATGATTTTAGCGCGCCACTTTTATTTTTCAGAGCAGATTTGTTGCACTCCATTAAGAATAATAACAACAAATGTCAAATCATCATAAGGTGTACCCCATCATCATATTGCGCACGCTATCTGAGGACGGCCTTTGTTTGCCAGACACACTGCATGGGGTTGTATATACAGAAAGCTTAAAAAAAAACAAATGTAAATTAAGTTGTCTATTTGATAATGCTGAAGCTAATTAGTACGTGTTTAAGTATGAATGTGTGTATGAAAATTTCAATAGCGTGCCAGCATATGTATATAAAGTGCGAAATGGCATAGGCAACAAGATAGCCTAAAGATTCATTCTGTGCTTAGTTTGTAATCTGAACTCGCCTGATTCACAAGCAAAATGCGTTTCGTACGATATATCGCGCTATTGTGCTTCTGTGTTGCTTTTCCAAGTAGCTTGAAAGGTGAACGCATACTGGCTATATTTCCATTTCCGGGTCCCTCGCAATACATTAATGTTGTGCCATACTTGAAAGGATTAGCGGCACGTGGTCACGAGGTGACTTCAGTGAATGCGTTTCCACAAAAGCAGCCAGTGAAAAATTTTCGTGACATTGCAGTCCTTGAAGTGCATAAAAATTATGATGGTGAGTGAGACTTTTTATGATGGCAATTGCTAATGGAATCTCGATTTTGCTCAATTCCAGATCTTATTAGTGATATGATGGAACCGCGCAACATGTGGCAAGAGAACACCTTTATTAATGAGTTCTTTACCAACATTACGAAGGCGGTGCTTGAAAATCCGCAGGTGCAGCAGCAATTGTTGCACGGCCGAGCCCACTATGATTTGATTATAATTGAGGCACTGCGCACAGACGCATTGTATGGTTTTGCACAGCATTTCAATGCCCCAATCATTGGTTTGTCGACATTCGGCACTGACTGGAATATAGATGAGTTGGTGGGAAACACTTCACCTCTCTCGTACACACCTCTGGTCACTACCGGCCTAAGTGATCGTATGACTTACTGGGAGCGGCTGCATAACTTTGTGGAAACATCTGTGGCTTGGCTGAATACTCACTTAATCCAACTGCCCGAACAGGTGGAGCTCTATCACAAATATTTTCCCCGCGCCAAAGCTCCGTTGCTGGAGCTGCGGAAGAATTTCTCACTTGTGCTGCTTAATCAACACTTTTCGTTAAGTTTTGCACGACCCTATGTACCGAATATGATCGAGGTGGGCGGTCTACATATTGCGCATAAGCCGACTCCCTTGCCTGAGGAAATGGAAAAGTTCATCGTGGGTGCTGGTCAGGCAGGTGTCATTTACTTCTCGATGGGATCAAATGTGAAGAGCAAGGATTTTGCGCCTTCCATACGTGCTCTTCTACTTGAGACATTTGCCAGTTTGCCGCAACGAGTACTTTGGAAGTTTGAGGAACAACTACCCGCGAAGCCGGATAATGTGTTCATAAGCAAATGGTTTCCGCAGTCCGATATTTTGGCGCATCCAAACGTGAAGCTCTTCATAACGCATGGCGGTCTCCTGAGCACCATTGAAAGCATCTACCATGGCAAGCCGGTGTTGGGACTGCCCTGTTTTTATGACCAGTTTTTAAATGTGGAACGTGCCAAGCTTGCTGGATTTGGGCTAGGCTTAGATTTCAACAAGATGAGCGGGGCGGAACTCAAGTCGAATATTCTAAGAATGCTGAATGAGCCATCTTTTTTAGAAACAGCTAAACAAATGTCGGCGCGCTATCGAGATCAACCCATGGCGCCATTGGACAAGGCCATCTGGTGGACGGAGTATGTCCTTCGACACAAAGGTGCAATGCACATGCGGGTAGCGGCACAAGATTTGAGTTTTGTCGCCTATCATAATCTGGATGTGTTGGGCTTGTTGTTGGGCGTACCACTAATGGTAGTGGGCTTGCTTCTGGTTGTGTTGGTCAAGCTGTTAGGAAGGCGTCGACAAACCACTGATCGCCGTGAGTCTAAGCCAAAACGACAATAAACAGTAATGGAAATATTGGTTGTACTTTAATGATTCACAGAGGGGTTAAATTGAATCTCACTTTTGTCTCTTATTTCCTAGAGGTAAACTAAGTAGGTGCCTTGTTGCAATTTCGATTTAAATGGTCATTTTTGCCAAATGTGGAAAATCAAGTTAAAAATTGAAATTAAAATTAAAGCATTAAAGCAACAAACAAATAGGAAATAGATTGGCTGTGCACGATTTATGTTTATGTTTATTTTTATTTCCCCTTTTCTGCTTGATTTAATTTCTATATTTTCAGACTTTTTCGCTTATTCGGAGTCTATGCTGATTTCATTTGCTGCCCGTCTTTCGCTCTCTGGGGCACAGCCAGCTTTTATTGCCCTGAAATACGAGCTGCAGTTCGAACAAATTTGAAAAATAAGCACATTAACCACCACCAATCAGTTGCATACGATGCGTATGTGGAATATGAAAATGCACGGTCACTTCCGTTTCGGCCTACCAACATTTAAACAACATTTACGTATAAAGCGCCGAGGCGAGTTTTTGGCTGCGTTGCCAAATGTGTAATCAAAAATTCATGAGCTATATAAATGTGGTGTTCGCGCAGGGAACTGAGGGCAACTATAGTTGCTGTTGTTGGTGTTATTAGCGTTTGCATTTTGCATAAAAACCAACCACTTTTATTATTACGTCGCGATGCAGCATCTGGCAAAACGTGGCATGCAAATGGAAATAATTTCAGATGATTAAAGTTGCTAGCCTGGCACGCGGCTGCCCCCGACGGAGTCCCTGTTGATATTGGACTCTGCCATTGGCCCACTTGATCCCTTCGTGGCAACTAGCTGCCGCTGAGCTCTGATTGAATGACTGACAGACATGGCGTTTATAAAAAGAGACAATTTAATGATGTCCTGTTTGTGGTTTCATGTGCGTTGCCAATTTTAATGAGCTGGCAATAAACACACGCGGGCAATCATGATAGCCACGTAGATGAAGTTGGATTCATTCATCAGTCCTCAGTGGAGCCATTTTTATTGCAGTATTTTACTAACTACATGCCAAAACTGCACATTGTTTCCGGTGGCCAAAAGTACTTGCCGACTTAAGCGTAAAAATTTTAATTGAAGCAAATGCTAAACCCCAGAAATCAACTCTCGTGCAATATGCAAAATAAATGTGTGCAGACTATCTAAGGTGTGAAAAGAGATGCAGTTGCATATGCGTAACTGCTGTTTCACATATTCAGGTAACCAAATTCTAGTCCAAGCAAATCATCTCTCGGTTCAATGCATTTTTTTAGCTTTTGAGTTCATTTCCCTGCACAAATAAGTGCAAAATTGTCTCGTTTCGGTTGACAGCTTTACTACGAGAAGTTGTTAGTCGATTTGTTTTTGCAACAACTTTTCGGAGAAGTGTCGTGTTTGCTTATACGAGTGTACTATGTGAAGTGTACTATGCAAAAAGTGTAAAATTTAATCTGAATTGGAAACAAATATTGTGCGTCTGCTGGATGCTTCAATTTGAATTGAGCGTACTATGCAATAAGGAAGAGATTCAATCTATAAATTATGCAGATCTTATGCATGATCCTCGAACCAAAGCTTCTAAGATTTATTCCGATTGCCTTTTAGTTCTCGGGTACAGTTGGCTTACACCTTTTGTTGATTGGTTTTACAGCTCCACCAAATTCAACTGTTTGTCAATTCAAGCAGAGCGGACTACGTAATCCAAAATCGAGACTTAGCAACTACAAAAGTAGCAACTTGCAAGTTTCCAGTTGCTAGTTGCCAGTTCCCGGTGTTTTTCCTTGTATTTCGGTCGCTTTTTTGTTTCTTTTTTTCTGTTTTTTTTTTGTTTTTTTTTTTAGCCGCATCGTGCACTTTTAATGCGGCCGCCATTAGAGCCGCCAACATTTCCGACGCGGACGCTGATTTTCAGGCACGGCCATGGCCCAAAACAGTTTCAATAAGTTGCGCTAAAAGTTTTACACGCCTTTTTGCCGCTGCCTAGCTTAAAAAAACCCGCGCTAAAAACTGTCGAAAAAAGCGCGGCGAAGAAAATAAAAGCAAAATGCTGCGGGGGCAAATCTGACACCGGCATGAGCATGGCTAGGAGGTGGGTGTTAGTGTTAGCGTGAGTCTGGGTGCTGGTGTGGGCGTGGCGTAAGGGTAGATGGTTGAGCGCGCGCTGTTAAAAATTTGAACGCGCTGATGGGCATTTTTACAACTGAAGCGTTAACTATGTGCGAGTTGGGCAAGTAGTTGCAAAAAAAAAGAAAATATAAAAAAAATCGAAAAAGAATAATAGTAATAGAGTGAGAGAGGAAGTACGCAAGGCCGAAGGCAAGGCCCGACAGATGGGTAGAGAGTGGGACTGCATGCAATGCACACAACTTTCGATACCACTACACAATATTTTCTATTTTAGTTTACAAGTTTTGTGCCGGCAGCAATTTCGAGCGCACGCTGCTGGAAATGTGCGTCGTCCCGACCCGGCCCGGCCCGACCCGTCCCGACCCGTCCCGACCCGTCCCGACCCATTCCATGCCATCCCGTCAGCGTCAAACACTTACAATGAAAATTTTACGAGTGCAAGAGCGTGAAGTGTTACAAACGCATTGTATATTTAATGCATTTTGCTGAGCGGTGTATCTTATCTGGCTATTAAACTGGTATAGACTGGTATTTTGTACTTAAACGCTATGGAAACATTTTTGTGTGCACGCGGCTTTAATTGCGTTTCACTTTTGGCTTCGATGTCTCCTGACGACCCAGAAAGCATTCCTGTAAAGCGTACCATGCACGGCGAATGAGGAGAAAGATGACATACAACACGAACAAGAGGCCGCCATAGAGTATGAATATGGCATCGAGATTGTGATACTGCACAAAGTTGAGGTCCTGTGAGGCACTGCGCAAGTAACGTGCACCCTTATGTCGTGTCACGTGCTCCACCCAGTAAACGGCGCGCTCCAGTGGCGTTTCATGCTGATCTCGAAAGCGGGCAGACATGGCTCTAACCTTCTTAGTGGCCTCTGGATCACTGACAATACGTTCCACAGCCGCTTTTAATTTAGCGGCTGTTAAATCCTGGTAGTTGATGGTCACTCCATATCCATTTTGTTCGGCACGCGCCATGTTGAGGAATTGATCGCCGAAAATCGGAATACCTACGAACGGCTTGCCATGATATATGGATTCGGTGGTGCTCAGAAGGCCGCCATGTGTAATGAAAGCAAGGACCTTCTTATGTGCCAGGATGTCGTCTTGCGGGAACCAGTCGGATATGAAAACGTTTGGCGGCTTGTCAGGCAAATTTGGATCCTCGAATTTCCAAAGGACGCGTTGTTTCAGACTCCGCAGCGCATTTAATAGTTCGGCACGCTTATCCAATGGCAAAGTTTTGCTTTTCAAATTTGAGCCCATTGAAAAGTAGATGACGCCATGCTCAGCTCCATTGATGAACGCCTCAATGTCGGCAGGCAGCGGCTGACGTTTCCGATTGATGTGCATTCCTCCCACTTCAATCATGTTAGGGGAATAAGGACGTGGAAAGCTTAGGGAAACGTGTTGATTGAGCAGCACCAGCGCAGTGTTCTTCCTCATGTCATAGAAGTCCTGCTTATTGTCTGGGAAGTACTTTTTGTAGAGTGCCTCCTGCTGAGGCAGGTAGTAAAGACTCATAAAGATTTGTTCGTATGTGAGGAAAGCTAAATTGGCGACACGCTCTACCAGCGACATGCGATCGGAGAACTTCAACAGCGCGTGTGGCACATATGAAGGCGGTGAGGGCGAGCCAACCTGCATGGAAAATAATAATAATTAGCTGGCATTTCTTACAGAACTAGAGATTGTCAAGCTCCTACCAAATCTGTATTCCAAGTGGTGGCTCCAAATGTGCCGAAAGCTATGAGCGGTGCACCGAAATGTTCAGCGAAACCAAAGTGGGCCTCATTGAGAAAGATCTCTGATATTACTGCATCATAAGTTTGATTGGACTGCCTTAAGTTCTGTATTATTGGGTCTTCTAATAAGGTCTCCGTCAGCATCATACCCATTCTATAGAAATTCAATATTTGTTCCACAATCGGCGTCTTAACTAAATCAAGCAGGCTATCCATATTTTCTGAAATTAGATAATAAATTATTAAGTTGAAGGAAATATATAACTAGTATATTAATTAAATTGCTTAATTACCGAATATCTGAGGTGTGTAATGTGGATGTGATAAACATAATGAGTATTTGAACTGAGTAGCATGAAAATATCACAATTTCACAATAATTGTTTTTCTTACGCTTTGATTTACACCTAAGTACATATATACAGTCATATGTATGTGTATACACACAATATACGAATTAGTTAACAATTAAGATTATTTCTTACTTTTCATGCCATTCAGTATGGCCGGCACGGGTACATCGTGTATATTTTGAATTGGCTTCTTTAGGGGAAACGGCGATACTAATGTCACCTGATGACCCGCATTGGCCAGGCCTTTGGCCAGGGCAGAGCCCACATTGTAATGCGAACGGGCAGCTGTAGGTAGAATGACTAAATAATTGTAGGCTGTTGCACAGCTCAGCAGGCCAAGCATTAACACGCCAATAAAACCAGTTCTATGACGTAAACATGTCATGGTTTTTGGAGAGCTTTATAATTGTTAGGTAATTAATTTTATTTATTTTGTTACTTTTTTCTATCGATCACCATATAAAACTATAAAGTATGTTCTTTTTTAGCTTTCGACCGCACGCGTTGCTGTTTAGCGCCAAACTGACGACGATCGCACATACGCATGGTGTATATAGTACATACGTTTTGAGTCTCCGGCGTCTCTCGACATATGTACATACTTGTATACCCTACACTATACTGATAAAGCTTAATCAGTTCTACGAGCTTAAAATGCTATAGATGTCTATCACTGTGTATGTAGTAGTCTAGCCAGTCTAATCAGCCGACGGAGAGTAATAGTGGTCAACGGAATGACTTGTAACAATGACTCTAAAAATTTCTGCTTTTAAGGAGGTTTATGAGGCATATGAGAGAGCTACTAGTTTGGCCAGTCATTGTGAATATGTTTATCAATTCGCTTTTACGCGTTTGTTTGTTTGAAAGCCATGCGGACTTGAGAATAAAGTGTGGAACGGAATTTTGTTTTTGTTTTGGTTGCGTGCTTTGGTGAGCCGGTATACTGATAAAATACTATCTGACTCGAATGAGTGGAAATTAATAGAAAGAGTGGAAATAAAGTAAAATATACGCTGAGGCCGAAACATATTCGTACATTAGTACTCGAATGTGTGTATTTTATTTATTTATCCTAAATTAAATTATTAAATTTACGACATTATTTAAGGGAACTATTACGGATAACTTTTTCAAAATTCAAATCTCTCTCAAAAAAAAAAAATATATATATATAATTCGATCCTATGAATTGTTATTTGGTTTTAATTTTGTCGGTAAGCGGTTTATGTTTTTAAGTTCTGTATTATTGGGCCTTCTAATAAGGTCTCCGTCAGCATCATACCCATTCTATTGAAATTCAATATTTGTTTCACAATATTTGTTCCACAATATATCCATATTTTCTGCAATTAGATAATAAATGATTAAGGTGAAGGAAATACATACATAGCTATTACTATATATTAATTAAATTGCTTAATTACCGAATATCTGAGGTGTGTAATGTGGATGTGATAAACATAATGAGTATTTGAACTGAGTAGCATGAAAATATCACAATTTCACAATAATTGTTTTTCGTACGCTTTGATTTACACCTAAGTACATATATGTATACAGACATATGTATGTGCATACTCGTACATTGTGATTAGTTAACAATTAAGATTACTTCTTACTTTTCATGCCATCCAGTATGGCCGGCACGGGTACATCGTGTATATTTTGAATTGGCTCCTTTAGGGGAAACGGCGATGCTAATGTCACCTGATGACGCACATTGGCCAGACCTTTGGCCAGCGCAGAGCCAACAGGACATGGTTTTTGTAGAGCTTTCTATCGGTCCACCATACAGTATATATGTTCTTTTTTAGCTTTCGACCCCACGCGTTGCAGTTGAGCGCCATACTGACGGCGATCGCATATATGCATGGTGTATACGTGTACATACGTTTTTGGTATCCAAGGTCTCTCGACATACATAATTGAATAATCAGCGCTATACTGATTAAGGTTAATCTCCTTGCATACTGTAGTCTAGCCGGTCTAATTAGCTGAGACCGAAATTTATTCTCGTACTCGTACGTATGTGTATTTTATTTCTTTATCAAAAATTTGTAAATATTTGCTACAGTTTTTAAGAAAACTATTATGGATTACGTTTTCAAAATTTACAAAATGGATTGTTATTTTATTTTTACTTTGTTGGTAATCGGTTTATGTTTCGAACTTAAACGGCTTAATAAAAGCCTTACGACAGTCACCAAAATAAACAAAAGAGCGAACACAATAAATGCTAGTCCTCCAAAGAACATAACAATAATATCCAGATTATAATATTCAGCTATGTTGAGGTTCTGCGCAGCACTTCTAAGGTACCTGGCCCCCTTTTGTCTAGTGACATGTTCCACCCAAAAGACTGCTCGCTCCAGCGGCGTTTCAAGTTGGTCGCGAAAGCGGCTTGACATGGCTTTTGCCGCTTCTATGTAGCTTTTTTGGTTGGTAATGCGTTCAATGGCATCTGTGAATGATTCTGTGGTTAATTGCGCTAGTCTTACGGTAATGCCGTAGCCAGATTTTTCGGCGCGTGCCATATTTAGGAATTGATCACCGAAAATGGGAATGCCTATCACTGGCTTGCCATGATATATGGACTCCATGCTGCTCAGCAGACCACCGTGAGTGATAAACGCGATTACCTTGTCATGGGACAGGATATCGTCCTGTGGAAACCAATCGGATATGTAAACATTAGGCGGTTTGTCCGCAAAATTGGGGTCCTCGAACTTCCAGAGAACCCGCTGCTTGAGCCTCCGAAAGGTGTTGATAAATGCCTGCCGTTTCTGTGGTGGCAAGTCAGCGCTTTTTAAATTGGAACCCATGGAAAAGTAGATAACGCCATGCTCTGCTCCATTGATGAACTCCTCAATGTCAGCAGGCAGCGGCTGACGTTTCCGATTGATGTGCATTCCACCCACTTCGATCATATTGGGCGCATATGGACGTGGGAAGCTTAGAGAAACGTGTTGATTGAGCAGCACCAGCGCAGTGTTCTTCCTCATGTCATAAAAGTCCTGCTTATTGCCCGGAAAATACTTGCGATAGAGCTGCTCCTGTTGTGGCAAATAGGAGAATTGGTGATAAATATACTCGTAGACGGTAAACGCAAAGTTGAGGGCACGTTCGTAGGACGTCATTTGATCGCCGAACTGCAAGAAGTTGTGTGGCACATACGAGGGTGGTGCGGGCGTCCCAACCAAGGCGGTGGTCCAAGCGGAGGCACCAAAGCTACTTAATGCTATGAGGGGTGCATTGAAATGCTCCGCCAGTCCGAAATGTGCCTCATTTACAAAAACCTCGCATATAACGGCATCGTAGGATTTATTTTGTTGTAGCAACGCCTGAACTGAGGGCTCCTTCAAAAAGGTCTCGGTGACTTGTAGACCCATGCCATGAATCATAGGTAAACGACGCACCATCGGCAATTTGCTGTTTTCCATTAATTTGGCAATATGCGCTAAAAAAAATAATGTTAATAATTATCAAATATTTAAAAGTATAAGTTGCAAAGTATAACTCAAAATTAATTATTATATTGTGAGAGAATGAATAAAATTTAAAACAAATTATTAGTTTTTTAAATTTCTAATAACACTGATACTGATTACAGTCCCTGGTGTATATCAGACTTTATGATCGCTCCCATGTGCTTATCAGTTTTGCCGGCCGCCAGCCAGCCGATTAAAATTACGTGACACTTGAAGTGTACAAACAACTTACAACCCATGACGCGAATGATTTCGGGAGTGGGAACATGCCTCAACCTCTCGATGGGTTTCTGTTCTGAGAACGGCGAGATCAACGTTACTTCATGTCCGGCGGCGAGCAATCCCTTGGCCAGCGATACGCCGACGTAGTAATGCGATTTCGATGCAGTGTGCAACACCATGAGGTAATTGTAGCCAAAAGAGCAGCTAAGGCTGGCCAGAAGCAGCACATACACGTATATGTTAAGCGGCCGCATATTGGATTCGCGTTCTCACAGTCTGCTAACTTATAATCGACTAACTTGTGTAGAGTCTAAGAGTCTAGTTATATACATACTCGTATGTAAGTATGTACATGAAAACGCTTATATTGCGCTGCGTATGATAACAGCTTGACCAAAACAAAATCAGCCGGCAAAAGCGTATGGAAAAATGAAAGAAAGAGAGAAGGAGAGGGAGAGAGAGAGTGTGACTCAAAACTGGCTCCAGAGAGTGAGAGAGAGAGAGAGAGGGAAGGAGAGAGAGAGAGGGAAGGAGAGAGAGAGAGCCATATCGCTTTCAAACAAGCTTTCCACTCATTGTAACTTATAAGTTATTCTAAAGGGATCTCTTCAAATTCGACAGGCCTCCACGCTTAAAAGTTGCCTACAAATAGTTGTAGTATGACTCACCTTTTCGAATCAAAATTCGTGTATCCCTGGTGATTAGATTTTTAAATACGATATTTACAAATTGAACATTTATTGGCACATTCCTTAAGTGAGTAAGATAAGGAGAAACTGTTTAAATCGTAGAACATTATTCTGTATTTACTTGTTATGTTATCAAAAATATGAGCGCAGGGTAGCAAAAAGTTGCGCTAGTTGTCCACCTTACAAAACATGCTAACTGAAATATTCGCTCTCACACTTCTCTCAGCTCAGGGCATGGTTTGTTTTCGTTTGGATCTTATGGGCTTTTTGATCAGAATATGTCCAAGCATGTCATATAGTATAGAATTTCGCAATAGTAACACATACATATGTTGGAGTGTATGTTCATATACATAACTTTTTGTTTAAATATGTGTGTATTTTTATAAACGAAAAACGTTTTCAAACGTTTCAAAACGTTTGCGAGCGGGAATATATAAAGGCGCCTATTGCAGCCGTTTTGACAGAGTAAAAAGGAAAGCGTCTCGGGCGGTCCTATGTGCTCGTAGAGTATTTTTGTGTATTATTTGCAAATTAAATTAAATCAAATTCAATTGGCCATGCGTTTATCATTTATATTGTATATCGGTTGCGTGCTTTGTGTAAGTGTCTGCAATGGCTACAAATATTTGATGGTGCTTAACTCTGCGGGTCGCTCGCATTTCATTTTTGGGAATGCTTTGGCCAAGGGCTTAGTAGAAGCCGGTCACGAGGTTACGGTGTTGTCGGCCCATTCGAAGAAGCTCCCCATGAAGGGTTATCATCCGATTGCCACACCCAATATTATAAATGTGATGAGTGGGGATATTGCAGCATTGTGGCAATCCGTACAAAAACCACTTGTGGAGAATCTGATCGATCATTATAAAATGGGCTTTCGGATAACACGAGCGCTACTGGAGGATGAGAACCTACAGACACTTCTGCATGGCAATAGCACATTTGATGCGGTTATATGTGAAACATTCTACAATGATGCCCAGTACGGGCTGGCCGAGCATTTTAACGCGCCACTAATAGGGCTGAGTACCGGAGCCGGACTGACCTTTATTACTGATATGGTAAGCAACTGAAATAAGCTATTATTTTGTCATCATTAAAGTTGGATTTGTTTTTAGGTTGGCTCCCCGGCGCCCCCTTCCTATGTGCCGCACATTATGCTGCCCTTTAACGACCATATGTCCCTGTATGAGCGCCTAGTTAATGTGGCCTTTTTGGCTTACGAGCGGTTATTATTGGACTACTACTATTTGCCTAGGCAGGCGCTGCTCTACAAGGAATTTTTTCCACACAATAAACATAGTTTCTTTGATATGCGACGAAATGCCTCGTTGGTGCTAATCAATCAGCATGTGTCACTGAGCTTTCCCCGCCCCTACTCGCCTAATATGATTGAAGTCGGCGGCCTACACATTGATGGGAAGGTGAATCCACTGCCCGTGCACATAGAAAAGTTTCTAAATGAGTCAGAGCATGGCGCCATATACTTTTCAATGGGTTCGAATCTTAAGAGCAAGGATTTACCGGAAGAAAAACAAAAAATCATCTTGGAAGCATTTCGCAGCTTGAAGCTTCGCGTGCTGTGGAAGTTTGAACGCACAGATTTGGCCGGAAAGCCAGACAATGTGCTAATTTCCGATTGGTTTCCACAAACAGATATATTGGCGCATCCTAAAATCTTGGCGTTTGTTACCCATGGCGGACAGTTAAGTACCACGGAATCGGTGTACTTTGGCAAGCCCGTCATTGGAATCCCCATTTTTAGTGATCAGTTCTTCAACATGGCACGTGCTGAACAGAGTGGCTACGGCATTATGTTAAATTTTAAATCTCTTACTGCAGCCGATTTTACGAAGGCTATACAACGCATAACTACCGAACCAAGCTATACACGACAAGTGCGTGCCATGTCAGCCAATTACAGGGATCAGCAACAGACGCCGCTGGCAAATGCTATTTATTGGGTAGAGCATGTGACGCGTCAAAATGGCGCTGGATATTTGAAGAGCGCGGCGCAGCGTTTACGTTGGTTCCAGTATCACAATGTGGATGTGCTCCTTATCATCTTATCAATATTATTATTTGTTCTCATAGGAATACCTTTGTCCCTCGTGTGGTTGGTGAGATGCTGCTCTATGAAACTAAATTCCTTACCGAAACAGAAAAGGAACTAAGTAGCATAGTGTACAAATTTTTGACAGTTTAATTTAATAAATAGGTAATTGTATTGTAATTAGAATATATATAATTTAAATCTTTCAAATAATAATAGTTTTCACAACTCACCCTTGGGCATATTTTTGGCGAAACTTTTTAATACTCTGAACCTGAAATGTTCAAGAGTATGGATATTCGGTTTGTGCAGTCGGAAGACTCGACATTGGCTTTTCCACTTGTTTAGAGTGTTTGTGGCATCTAATCCATCGAAGGGACGTTGATGATATATGTATAATAAATCTCATTAGAAATGACAATTTAATTCTTCAAGGATTAATTAATTGTATGTTTAAGAAAATCGCATTATATTCGAAAAATATAGGAATCTGCTGGTACTGCACATGCAGAAGGCAAATGGCCGTCTACCATCAAATGCTTATACTGATGAAGGGAACTAGCTTTGGACTCTGGCTATAATATGTGTAAAAAGCAAGAACAGAAAAGTATATATTAGTATATTAAGGTCCATCTCTCAATCTACTGAACTGGTCTAAATCTTGATAGTTCCCCATTTGTTTGCAGTTTTTAATGGGGTGATATTTTTTCACATAGCCTAAAAGCACGCTACACAAATTGCCGTCGAGCTGGTCCTCTGCAACCGTTTCTATTAACTGCTAAATTAGAAATGTATGCTAATTTAAATGGGAAATCCTTTTGTTGGAATTCTTGTTGCTAATACATAACAACAGATCAGCGAAGTGATTGATATTTGAACATTAAATGAGAAAATTGAAAAGAAAAAAAATTTAAAATGAGCATCAAGGCATTAAATTGGACCACATACCCACAAACACACACACACACCTATGCACACACGACTGGGCTAAGAGCTCGGAAAGCGCTAAGGTGCCAGCGGCTGAAATGAAGGAAATGAAATTCAAAAAAGACAAAGTTTCCGTTGAGCGCACGCATATGCATACGGGTATGACTGTGTGTACGTGTGCGTCGTGAGCCTTTGGTGTGCACTGACATTGAAAAGCAGCCAACAGCAAAAAGAGAAATATAAAAATGTAGGTATGTATAGTACATATATGACTGTACGTATGTATATATATGTTTTTTTATATATGTATATATATTTTTATATATCTAGTATACGAGTAAGTACGAAAATGTATATGAGTTAAAAGTTAGCTATGCAAAAAAAGTTTTTGATGGCGCGCTGAAAGTGAAAAGTAAATTTACGCAAAAGTCACCGAAATGCATGGCGAAATTTCGTGATTGGGTGGTTGTTGGGGCGAAGTCGGATGGAGGGATGAGGTGACTGTCACAAGTTGCAAAAGAATATGAAATGGCAAAAATGAAATGAAATGAAACGGAAGTTCAAGTTGATTTGTTTGTAAGCAGAAGTGCCTCTATACCCAAACATTCACACCCTTCTTATTTAACATGCAAACATTCACACAACTCTTATTTTCTTTTATTTTCATATGGCACACACATTGACAGCCATTTTGCGGAAGCGGAAGTTGCGTTTCAATCGCGCGCCTGATGAAGTTACTGCATAACTTTTTGCTATAGAGACGTCTGCTGCGAGTCATGTGAGTGCAAATAAATTTAGCATAACAATACCTGATAAATTGTTATATTTTGCATGTACGCAGAACATGAGATTTATATGTGATTATGATTTGAAAATAATACGCATAAATTTGCCAAATGTGCGAAATTGTAACAAACTTAAAGCAAAAGTTAATCAACCACTGAATGCACATTTGCTAGCTCTGTTCTTTGTCTGCAATTGTTGTGGTAAATTTTTTACATTGTTGCCCTGTTCGATTTCCCATAGGCCAAGTTCAATGCGATACAAAACCGATTCGTTTTTTTCGTTTCGCTATCCGTTTTTGTATTTTTTCGGGGCAGACTTAATGGCTCAGTAACGTAATTAAAAAAGGCATTGCGGCTGCAACACTTTTCATTTGTGTACATATAAAGAGGCAAACGCATACATACACACAGATGTGCGCAGGCATATACAGATTGCGGCAAAATGACAGACACACAATGACAATACCGCACAATGCGTTGCACAGCGGTTTATTCTGGCTTTCCTCTTTGTCAAAATCACAGCGTTTGAGTGAAAGAAGATCACCAAATCGACAATTAAAAAAAAAAGAAAATGTGGCATATTTAACAGAAATGTATCTTATGGCTAACAGCAATCTGTTATTTCTTTCAATAAAAACTCAATTTTAGAAATATGAAAAATTTTTTACTTATTTTCATCAACTAAAATGCTACATTCACAGTCCATACAAGTATTTAGAACAATTTCGAAAAGCATTGTGGACAAATTTCCATACGGTTCCCACATGATTTTACACAATCTTTTTTTTTGTTTAAAAAATTTAAATATTGAAACAGGAGTCTGAATAATCCACTGTGTGGAATTGGTCAGTGGTAAGTTCTCGTCTGGGACTCGGACTGACTGCAGTAGCGTGCAAATTGATTGCGATTGTTGAGTTGATTGGCTGGCGAAGCAAGCACACACATACACACATGTGTTCATGCCAACTAAAGCTACGTACATTCTGGGGAAGGGTAACTCTTTGTGGTGCTTCTTTTTATTATTTCTTGCTAGCAGCCTCCATTGTTAACATCGCCATTTAATATTGATTGTGCCTTAAATGAAGTTCGTTTTGGCTTCTCTAAGTTTTGTTATGTTCCGTTAGATGGCAAATTTTTTGCCTGATTATGTATGTAATTGGTTGAGATTAAATATTGCTTATGTATGTTCTTTGTTTTTCTTAATTGTATGGTGTCTTTGATAATGCTTCATAATTGTATATTTTGAGACATATTTTAAATAAAATATGTAGCATAAAGTATAAATAGTATATTCTAAATCTGCATAACGATAGAAATCGATCTAGACATATCCGTTAGTCTGTCTATCCGTCAGCATAAAAATAAACTACGTAAACAAAACCCCAAAAACTTGTACTTTTAATATGATCTAAATCGGTTCGTTATAAAAAATGAAACAACAAAGATATCAAACTTTTGGAATTTGGAATTTTTTGGCTTGAACCAAGTGTGAAGCAATTCATGCGGTATATGCGTTAAAATATTGGAATAAATATTGAATGTTGACGATGTTCATTTATTGTTTTGTTGACTGCTACAAAATTATGAAGTCTTCATTATAGCCCACCAGTTTTGGCGTCCAGCAGTTCAGCGACTGTTTTGTGCTCTGTTTCTCCGAATTTTCCATTCACCCACACTTAAACAATGCTTCGTTATTTCGTTTTTGGTAATGCCGTGCCGTTCTTGCCTTTGACTTTTTGTTTTACTTCGTTTTTCTGTTAAATTAAATTTTATTTTACTGTTATTTGTTACAATTTTATGCTATTTTTATTATTATTTGCCACAGCGTCCAATTCTTTGTCTGCGCACATGCCCAAAAAATAAAAATAAAAAAATTGGCGCTAATTTGTTTTTAAATTATTTAACAATTTCTTACTGCGATTCGCGTCGTTTGGCAAAGTTGTGAACGAAGCGGGAAGCTATTGTGGCTGCCTTGCCAAAAACGCGTCCAATGCAAATGTTATGCCTGTGACGTTCGGTCTAAAATACTCGTAATCTAATTAGATGCCGCTGTTGCAGACTGACGACGCCGATTTGTTTTATGCCACTTTAGTTGGCAACAGTTGTCGTTAATGCGTGCCAAGAAATCCAACGGAATGGTTTGGGCCTCACTTGGGCTTGGGCTTGCTCCAAATTGGCCGTGGCAAATGGCAATCTTGGCTAATAGTTTCATTTTTCTATATGCATAATTGAGGAAAATACATAAATTTTGCGCCCAGGGGGTTGACCGTTGGCTGGCCATCTAGGAGATAAATGTTTGTTTCTTTGTTTGTGAAACTCTGGATTTATATGACAGCTGGAATTATACATATTTTCCGTGCCATTTATTTATTGTGCATCATATAAAATTAATTAAATGAATACAAGTTGTTTTTCAATTCTTAAGTTCTTAAACATTTTTAAATTTCTATCTATGGAAATAAAGTGTCATATATGAAATAAGGTTTGGTATCTATTTATTTTATTTTGCAGCGATATCTTCAAAGAGCACTTATAATGAAATTATAAAAGTCGCGCTAGGTAGTCGACGCGTTTCATCAACTCAATTGCCAATTAAAGCCTATCAACATTAATGCTGGCGAATGTCGACCCGGCATCAGCCACGGCCATGATAATGACGATAACGAGGCAACGCCGCCATTGCACGTATGCGAGGAGCCGCAACAACAATGATGGTCGCAGAAAAAACAAAAAAAAAAAAACAGAGAAAAGGAAAAAAGGAGAAAAACGACAGAAATTGGGAAATGGAGAATGGCAGGGAGTAAGGCAAATGAGTGGCACTGACTCTGTGTCGCTGACATGTCGTCCGCAATGTCGTGGTTACTTCCCTTTTTTGTTGCTATGGTTGCTGTGTTGTTGTACTTGACGTCCAGAGCCTGACGGTAAATTAAAAAGCATAAAGCTGCCGAAAGTAGGAGGTGCCAAGGCCCAAGAAACTGCATGTGGAAAATGAACGCACGGATGTTTATGCACGAGTCGCATATTAAACGTGTGTAAATATTAGAAGAGCCTGCAGCTACCATGCTACCCCCCTATCTCTCTCATTCTCTCTCTCTCTCTCTGTCTCTAACCAGTCTTTCTGTCGCTGTGTGCAATAACAAAAGCGCATTGCTGTCAATTTTCATTTCAGTGGCAAACGCGCGTGTTAAAATGGCGCATGAAACGTCATTTTGAGACGGCAGCCATGACTGACATTTGCGGTTGCTGCTCTTGCTGCTCCTGCTGCTCCTGCTGCTTTTGACTGTTATTGTGGCTGCTCTTGCTGTTGCTCCTGTGGTTGTTGTTGTTGATGTTGCCTCAAGTGCACACATCCCGCTGTGCGTTGGCTAAAATGTAAGTAGCCCTGGTCATGCCCGCGGCGAGCATGCAATTTTCCAGTTCAAAGGCTTAAAACTAAATTAAACTTTATGACTTGCCACGCAGCCGGGGATTTGAGGCGCAGCAGCAGCACCAGCAGTAGCAGTAATAGCAACGAACAAAAACAACAAGGGATTACATGGCGTATGAAGAATAATGTTTGGCATACTTATTTTCGTTTCTTCTGCTTTCGAGCTAGACCGTAAGCCGGCTATAGTTGGCTTTATTGTTATTGTGGCGCGCGTTGCATGTGTTGGCCAACAAATATACGTATTGCAGATAAACAGACAAACAAATAAATGTAATGTAATAAGTTTAACTGAAGTGGACACAGCGCAGATAGCAATTGTCTAACATTTTATCGAGCAAATATTAAAAATATTACGAATCGCTTATACACAAGCACAACTCACACACACAAACATACACATGCACAATCACAGTCAAAACGCTGCCATTAGAAGCAGCCGTTGCCAGGCTGTCGAGCTGAAGCTGAGCGCTAAATTGCTTCAGAGTATGAGTTGCCTGTTATTGTTTGCCAAGCAGCATGTGAGACAGACAAGCTAACAAATACTCACTCACACACACACACAAATACACATATATGTACATGCGCATACCCACACACACTCACACTCACTAAGCAGGAACCACTTAATGCTGATATGTGGGAAGCACACACCAGAAGAGCTATCAAAGTAAGTCTAATAGCTGAAGAAATCTTAGCGCACAAACATTTGTACTTTAACTCTCCTCCCCTTTCCATCTCCTCCTCTTCCTGTCTCCTCACCTCCCCGTTCCACGCCTTTTGTCGCTTGCTGGACATGTGTTTCAAATGGTTCCCGACACACAGCAACCATTTAAAAACGCACAAAAGTTGGTCAGAGCATAGAAAAAAAGGTCTGAAAAATGTGCAGTGGCAAAAACCAACAGTGGCAGTAGGTGTGTGCATTTTTTTTTTCCAGTTGCAGCTTTTATTTGATTTTTCCAGTCCGATTCGGAGTTATTCTTATATTAGATTTTTGTTTGGGTGTAAGCAATTTGTTAGATTTTTGTTAGATAACTGAGGATGTGCAGCTTTTGATGTTGAAATTGACATGGCAAAAAAAAGGCAACTGCAGAAACATAGCAAATATATGAAAAAACATCGTAAAAATACATGAGAGATATGAAGAGGATGAGAAGAGGGACCTATTGATTACAAATAGTTTTAGTTTTCATATAACCACTTCTACCACTCTAAGCTATATGGAAAATGTTAATAAAATTGCAGGCGAATGCCAGCTGCCAATAATGTCATACATACTCGTATATACTTATGTATGTACTTCTTGTGAACTCTGAGCAAAAATCACGCCTTCAACACTTGACCAAAGCACACACATGCACTCAGTTGGTGGTAAATAAATTGCAATTTGGCTTTAAGCGTAAATTAAACGAGTAAACAGTCACAAGCGCCAAATAAGAGAAGCACAACTCAACAATAATCGAAAAATTATTTCCACACACATCTCGCCAAAGCATGGAAACAGGGGAACGCGGGTGTTAATCAAAGAAACAAATAAAAAGCGCACATGCAAGCAAAAGAAAAATCATAATGCGCGCGCACAAACATATATTTATATGTACATAGTATTTATATGTACATAGCTACCACAACATTTTGAAAAGCACGAATTAAGTTAAGCACTTTTATTTATTATTAAAAAAGTTTCGAGAAGGAAAAGCAGCAGACGGCAGAGTGAGAATGAGCTGGCAAAGAGAAAAGCGTAAAAAGAAATCAGCAAAAATCTGCGCATAATGCAAAGAAAATCCCAAATTTATCGTATCACTTAGATGAGAGTGTCATATGTGCAGGCGAGGCATAAGAGTGAGGGTAAGGAAAGAAGTGGCATACGAGTATGTGGAGGGCAATTTGAGGAGCAGGGCCTGGTGCTCGCATGCCGTGCTAAGGCAACAGCCAACAGTTACTGAATAGCCAGCCAAAGGGTTCGAGTCCGCGTTCTGAGCTTGTCGCATTACTATACACATGACATGTAGTGACGAAGTCACGGAACTATTATATTATCATTGAAAATGTGCTGAGTCGACAACGCGCAGTTTCATTTCTAACAATTGTATTTGTATTGTCCATAAGATGTTTTTGTTATTAAGAATTGCTATTAGAATTATGTTTCAATTTGAATTGAAATTTTAAGTATTTAAGTAGTTTAATTGGAATTTATAGAAATTCCAAAAAACAATTGACTACCAAAAACAGTTACAAATAGACTATTGAATACGGATTAACATTATATGACAATTGAATATGAACATATGATTTACAAGTATGTATCTTATAATTATTTTTATCATTATCCAAATTTATACATCTCGTTTCATATTGAAATTTGTAAAAAGTGAAGAGAGTGTTTGAATTTGTATTTTCCTTTCGCCACTAGTGATTTTTTTGGAGCCATCGAGTATGTCGGAAGATACTCACACACACACACACACACACACACACACACACACACATACTGTATATGTGGTGTATGAGTGAGCCAATGTGTTTGTGCATTCATAATATAACTGTTGATTATTGCGCCAACACGCACTCAGCGTAAGTGAGGCAGCAGCAGATGCAGCAACTAAAAGTGTAGCACACCCATCGCGTATGCGCAATATTATTAGATATTGAAAGCAGCCATCGATGTGGCTCGCAACGATGTCATCGTCGTCGCCATCGTGCCAAAAGCAATTGAGAGCAGAAACATATGAATTTTATTTTTTCCTTTCCTTTCTGCGCTTAGCATAAACATCTATAAAAAGCATATGGGCCGGGAAGGCGTGCCACGTATGTACCAGTGTATTTGAGTGTGTTTGAGTTTAAATGCGACAGCCTTGTAGCCATGCGCCATATTTTTATGAGCTAAATCGTTAGCAAATGCGCTAAATTATGGCAGATTATTTATTAGTCTAATGCCTTTGAAAATCGCAATTGGGGGCTTTAGGAGCAATCGATGTAAGAGCTTTAGTATAGATATTAAGGATAACGAGTTTATCGCTTATCAATACTTAAAATGTTTAGTTTCGTAACATGAAAAAGTGAAATCAGTAATCACAACATCTCAAATTATATTATTGGTAATTAAATATTTAATTTTTTCAAGTCTTTAATTTGTTAAATGATCAACAATAATTTGTGAATTTTACAGAATATGTTTGCACAGAATACGTTTGCAAAGAATATGTTTTCGGCTTAATTGGGGTACATTTATTTATCTTCATATTTCAATATATAGTATGTACAAGTTTAATTATAAATTTGATACACATTTCATCGGTTTTCGCTTAACGTGCGTTTATTAAGGCGGAAAGGGCAAGAAACAAAAAGTGTACGCACACACACGCCTGTATTGGGAAATAGCATGGAAGGAGATTAAATTCACTTAAGTGCAAAGTATGCAAATGACAAACTCACTCACACTCATACTAACACACACACACACACACACACACATACCTACTTCACACACAACTTCCTGCTTGACTGGCTGGATGCCTGACTGGCTACGATGCGATGCCTTGCATAGCGCTCGAGCAGAAATATTGTAAAATTCAAATTGGAATGCATGTGTGACATTTGCTATGGAATCATAGATACAGAGCAGCTACAAAAGGAAACGCAGGCATGTGCAAGTGGCATTTTGCTCCACTAGTCTCCGCACCTCTTCACTATCCTCCGTTCGTATCGGCCATGCTCAGACATTCGTGTGGGCGTGCAAGTGTAGATGGATGTGGGTGAGCGTCTGCCAAAAATGAAAGCAATTTGGCAAAAATCATAGTCTATAATTTCGAAACGACAGCAGCACATGAAGCACACAAAGCACTAGCTTACCAAACAAGCTACACAGCTTTGCCCGTACTGGTAATGGCAACCACAGCAGTCAGTCAGTCGGTTAGTTAGTCAGTCAGTCACTTAGCTGGGCGGTCAGAAAACTTAAAAGTAAATGCAGCTCACCCACACACATTCATCATTATGAGTTAATAATTGAACATTTTAGGGTCTAGGCAGTACAAAATTGCAATGGTTACCATTCAAATGTGTGAGCTTGTATCTAGAAGTTACGCAGGCGATGCTCAAATATTGCCATAAAAAGTGGCAACTAAAGCCTCACCCAATTTCCCCAAAATACACTCATGGAGACAACAACTACATGGAGACATGAATATGGACACTGCCATAGACATTTTGTATTTGCTCGTTGAACTTTTTGTCCAACTCGACTGCTCTTCTCCGCCACTCCTGGAGTTGAGTTTTTCGATTTGCCAAG